CACGGCGTCAAACACACACACGGCGTCACACACATACACACACGGTGTCACACACACACACGGCGTCACACACACACGGCGTCACACACACACACACGGAGTCACACACACACACACACGGCGTCACACACACACGGCGTCACACACACGGCGTCACACACACGGCGTCACACACACATACACACGGCGTCACACACACACGGCGTCACACACACACGGCGTCACACACACAAGGCGTCACACACACACACGGTGTCACACACACACGGCGTCACACACACGGCGTCACACACACACATACACGCGGTGTCCGTGTCCCCGTGGTCTCTGTGTCTCCACCAAGTCTCCGCCTGTGTCCCCCCCGTGCCACCCTCCCCATGTGCAGGAGGCTGGGGCTCAGGCTGTGGTACTACACCCCATATCCGTCTCTCCCTGTCTCTGTCTCCCTGTCTCTGTCTCCCTGTCTCTGTCTCCCTGTCTCTGTCTCCCTGTCTCTGTCTCCCTGTGTCTGTCTCCCTGTCTCTGTCTCCCTGTGTCTGTCTCCCTGTCTCTGTCTCCCTGTCTCTGTCTCCCTGTCTCTGTCTCCCTGTCTCTGTGTCCCTGTCTCTGTGTCCCTGTGTCTGTCTCCCTGTCTCTGTCTCCCCGTGTCTCTGTGTCCCCGTGTCTCTGTGTCCCAGTGTCGGTCTCCCCCCCCCGATATCCGCCTCTCCCTGTCTCCCCCTGTGTCTCTGTGTTTCTGTGTCCGTCTCTCAGTGTCCTTCTCCCTGTCTCTGTCTCCCCGTGCCCCCCCCCCCGTGCCCCCCCCGTGCCCCCCCCCGTGCTCCCCCCCCCGTGCCCCCCCCCGTGCCCCCCCCCCCCCCCATGTGCAGGACGCTGGGACTGGGCCTCAGGCCGTGGAAGCTGAGGCGGTAGTCCACCTCCACGTGGCCCAGAGACGCCCACCATCGCGCCACACACAACTCCAGCGTGCGGCCCTCCTGCGCCGCACAGATGGATTCAAAACGGTGGTGGTGGTGGTGGGGGTGGTGGTGGTGGTGGTGGTGAGGGTGGGGGTGGTGATGGTGGTGGTGGTGGTGGGGGTGGTAGTGGTGGTGGTGGGGGTGGTGGTGATGGTGGTGGTGGTGGTGGTGGTGGTGATGGTGGTGGTGGTGGGGGTGGTGGTGGTGGTGGTGGTAGTAGTGGTGGTGGTGGTGGGGGTGGTGAGGGTGGTGGTGGTGGTGGTGGTGGGGGTGGTGGTGGTGGTGGTGGTAGTAGTGGTGGTGGTGGTAGTGGTGGTAGTGGTGGGGGTGTTGGTGGTGGTGGTGGTGGTGAGGGTGGTGGTTTTGGTGGTGAGGGTGGTGGTGGTGGTGGTGGGGGTGATGGTGATGGTGGTGGTGGTGGTGGGGGTAGTGGTGGTGGTGGTGGGGGTGGTGGTGGTGAGGGTGGTGGTGGTGGTGGTGGTGATGGTGGTGGTGGTGGTAGTGGTGGTGGTGATATTGGCGATGGCGGTGGTGGTGGTGGCGGGTGGATTTTGTTGTTGACTGACTGAGTGAGTGACTGAGTGACTGAGCGAGTGAGTGACTGAGTGACTGAGCGAGTGACTGAGTGACTGACTGAGTGACTGAGTGAGTGACTGAGTGACTGAGTGAGTGACTGAGTGACTGAGTGACTGACTGAGTGACTGAGTGAGTGACTGAGTGAGTGACTGAGTGAGTGACTGAGTGAGTGACTGAGTGACTGAGTGAGTGAGTGACTGAGTGAGTGACTCACTAGCACAGGGAAGTGTTCCAGCACGCTGCCCCTGCTGGGCAGCGTGCAGCAGCGGTAGAACTCGTGTGAGTGACTGACTGAGTGACTGAGTGACTGAGTGAATGACTGAGTGACTGAGTGACTGACTGAGTGACTGAGTGACTGACTGACTGAGTGACTGAGTGAGTGAGTGAGTGACTGACTGAGTGAGTGACTGACTGACTGAGTGACTGAGTGAGTAACTCTCTCACTAGCACAGGGAAGTGTTCCAGCACACTGCCCCGGCTGGGCAGGGTGCAGCAGCGGTAGAACTCGTGTGAGTGACTGACTGAGTGACTGAGTGACTGAGTGAGTGACTGACTGAGTGACTGAGTGACTGAGTGAGTGACTGAGCGAGTGAATGACTGAGTGACTGAGTGACTCTCTCACTAGTACAGGGAAGTGTTCCAGCACACTGCCCCGGCTAGGCAGTGTGCAGCAGCGGTAGAACTCGTGTGAGTGACTGAGTGAGTGACTGAGTGAGTGACTGAGTGGGTGACTGAGTGAGTGACTGAGTGACTGAGTGAGTGACTGAGTGACTGAGTGAGTGACTGAGTGACTGAGCGAGTGACTGAGTGACTGAGTGACTGAGTGACTCTCTCACTAGCACAGGGAAGTGTTCCAGCACACTGCCCCGGCTAGGCAGGGTGCAGCAGTGGTAGAACTCGTGTGAGTGACTGAGTGACTGACTGAGTGACTGAGTGACTGAGTGAGTGACTGAGTGACTGAGTGAGTGACTGAGTGAGTGAGTGACTGAGTGAGTGACTGAGTGACTGAGTGACTGAGTGAGTGACTGAGTGAGTGACTGAGTGACTGAGTGACTGAGTGTGTGACTGAGTGACTGAGTGAGTGACTGAGTGAGTGACTCACTAGCACAGGGAAGTGTTCCAGCACACTGCCCCTGCTGGGCAGCGTGCAGCAGCGGTAGAACTCGTGTGAGTGACTGAGTGACTGACTGAGTGACTGACTGAGTGACTGAGTGAGTGACTGAGTGACTGAGTGAGTGAGTGAGTGACTGAGTGAGTGACTGAGTGAGTGACTGAGTGACTGAGTGTGTGACTGAGTGACTGAGTGAGTGACTGAGTGAGTAACTCACTAGCACAGGGAAGTGTTCCAGCACACTGCCCCGGCTGGGCAGGGTGCAGCAGCGGTAGAACTCGTGTGAGTGACTGAGTGAGTGACTGAGTGACTGAGTGAGTGACTGAGTGACTGAGTGACTGAGTGAGTGAGTGAGTGACTGACTGAGTGACTGAGTGAGTGACTGAGTGACTGAGTGACTGACTGAGTCACTGAGTAACTGAGTGAGTGACTGAGTGAGTGAATCTCTCACTAGCACAGGGAAGTGTTCCAGCACACTGCCCCGGCTAGGCAGCGTGCAGCAGCGGTAGAACTCGTGTGAGTGACTGAGTGAGTGACTGAGTGACTGACTGAGTGACTGAGTGACTGACTGAGTGACTGAGTGACTGAGTGAATCTCTCACTAGCACAGGGAAGTGTTCCAGCACACTGCCCCTGCTAGGCAGGGTGCAGCAGCGGTAGAACTCGTGTGAGTGACTGAGTGAGTGACTGAGTGACTGACTGAGTGAGTGACTGAGTGACTGAGTGAGTGACTGAGTGAGTGAGTGAGTGACTGAGTGAGTGAGTGACTGAGTGAGTCCCTGAGTGAGTGACTGAGTGACTGAGTGAGTGAATCTCTCACTAGCACAGGGAAGTGTTCCAGCACACTGCCCCTGCTGGGCAGGGTGCAGCAGCGGTAGAACTCGTGTGAGTGACTGAGTGAGTGACTGAGTGACTGAGTGACTGAGTGAGTGACTGAGTGAGTGACTGAGTGACTGAGTGAGTAACTCACTAGCACGGGGAAGTGTTCAAGCACACTGCCCCGGCTGGGCAGGGTGCAGCAGCGGTAGAACTCGTGTGAGTGACTGAGTGACTGACTGAGTGACTGACTGAGTGACTGAGTGACTGAGCGAGTGACTGAGTGACTGACTGAGTGAGTGACTCACTAGCACAGGGAAGTGTTCCAGCACACTGCCCCTGCTAGGCAGTGTGCAGCAGCGGTAGAACTCGTGTGAGTGACTGAGTGAGTGACTGAGTGACTGAGTGAGTGACTGAGTGAGTGAGTGAGTGACTGAGTGACTGAGTGACTGAGTGACTGAGTGAGTGAGTGAGTGACTGACTGAGTGAGTGACTGAGTGAGTGAGTGAGTGACTGACTGAGTGACTGACTGACTGAGTGACTGAGTGAGTGAATCTCTCACTAGCACGGGGAAGTGTTCCAGCACACTGCCCCTGCTAGGCAGTGTGCAGCAGCGGTAGAACTCGTGTGAGCGGAAGGCGCGGAGGCGACGCAGCTGCACGGCGTGCAGCACGAAGCGCGAAGTGCAGTCACCGGACAGCGACGAGAGGGACAACTCTGTAGTCACGTGGGGGGAGGTGACACACACACTCACACACTAGCTCACTCACTCAGTCACTCACTAGCTCACACACTCACTCACTCACACACTCACTCACTAGCTCACACACTCACTAGCTCACTCACACACACTCACACTCACTCACACACTCACACACTAGCTCACTCACTAACTCACTCACTAGCTCACACACTCACTCACACACACACACACTAGCTCACTAACTAACTCACTAGCTCACACACACACTCACACACTCACTCACTCATTCACACACTCACACACTCACTCACTAGCTCACACACTCACTCACTAGCTCACTCATTCACTCACTAGCTCGCTCACTCACACACTCACTCACACACTCACACACACACACACTCACTCACTAGCTCACTCACTCACTCACTAGCTCACTAGCTCACTCACTAGCTCACTCGCTCACTCACTCACTCGCTCACGCACTCACTAGCTCACACACACACTAACTCACTCACTAGCTCACACACTCACTCACTCACTAGCTCACTCACTCACACACTAGCTCACTCACTCACTAACTCACTCGCTCACTCACTCACTAGCTCACACACACTAACTCACTCACTAGCTCACACACTCACTCACACACTCACTCACTCACTAGCTCACTCACACACTCACTAGCTCGCTCACTCACACACTCACTCGCTCACTCACTCACTCACACACTCACTCACTCACACACTCGCTCACTAGCTCACTAGCTCACTCGCTTACTCACTCGCTTACTCGCTCACTCACTCACTCACTCACACACTCACTCACTCACTCGCTCACTCACTCACTCGCTCACTCACTCACTCACCCACTCACTCAGCCACTCACTCACACACACACTCACTCACTCACTGGCTCACTCGCTCACTCACTCACTCACACACTCACTCACTCGCTCACTCACTCACTCACTAACTCACTCACTCGCTCGCTCACTCACACACTCACTCACTCACTCGCTCGCTCGCTCACTCACCCACTCACTCACTCGCTCACTCACTCACTCACTCACTAGCTCACACACACACTCACACACACACTCACTCACACACTCACTCACTCACTGGCTCACTCACTCACTCGCTCACTCACTCACTCGCTCACCCACACACTCGCTCACACACTCGCTCACCCACACACTCGCTCACCCACTCACACACTCACTAACTCACTCACACACTCACTCACTCACTCGCTCACTAGATCGCTCACTCGCCCACTCACTCAAACACACACTCACTCACTAACTCACTCACTCACTCACTGGCTCACTCACTCGCTCACTCACTCACTCGCTCACCCACACACTCGCTCACACACTCGCTCACCCACACACTCGCTCACCCACTCACACACTCACTAACTCACTCACACACTCACTCACTCGCTCGCTCGCTCACTCACTCACTCGCTCACTCGCTCACTAGATCGCTCACTCGCCCACTCACTCAAACACACACTCACTCACTAACTCACTCACACACTCACTAGCTCGCTCACTCACACACTCACTCGCTCACTCACTCACTCACACACTCACTCACTCACACACTCACTCACTCGCTCACTAGCTCACTAGCTCACTCGCTTACTCACTCGCTTACTCGCTCACTCACTCACTCACACACTCACTCACTCACTCGCTCACTCACTCACTCGCTCACTCACTCACACACTCACCCACTCACTCAGCCACTCACTCACACACACACTCACTCACTCACTGGCTCACTCGCTCACTCACTCACTCACACACTCACTCACTCGCTCACTCACTCACTCACTAACTCACTCACTCGCTCGCTCACTCACACACTCACTCACTCACTCGCTCGCTCGCTCACTCACTCACTCACTCACTCGCTCACTCACTCACTCACTAGCTCACACACACACTCACACACACACTCACTCACACACTCACTCACTCACTGGCTCACTCACTCACTCGCTCACTCACTCACTCGCTCACCCACACACTCGCTCACACACTCGCTCACCCACACACCCGCTCACCCACTCACACACTCACTAACTCACTCACACACTCACTCACTCACTCGCTCACTAGATCGCTCACTCGCCCACTCACTCAAACACACACTCACTCACTAACTCACTCACTCACTCACTGGCTCACTCACTCGCTCACTCACTCACTCGCTCACCCACACACTCGCTCACACACTCGCTCACCCACACACTCGCTCACCCACTCACACACTCACTAACTCACTCACACACTCACTCACTCGCTCGCTCGCTCACTCACTCACTCGCTCACTCGCTCACTAGATCGCTCACTCGCCCACTCACTCAAACACACACTCACTCACTAACTCACTCACACACTCACTAGCTCGCTCACTCACACACTCACTCGCTCACTCACTCACTCACACACTCACTCACTCACTCACACACTCACTCACTCACTCGCTCACTAGCTCACTAGCTCACTCGCTTACTCACTCGCTTACTCGCTCACTCACTCACTCACACACTCACTCACTCACTCGCTCACTCACTCACTCGCTCACTCACTCACTCACACACTCACCCACTCACTCAGCCACTCACTCACACACACACTCACTCACTCACTGGCTCACTCGCTCACTCACTCACTCACACACTCACTCACTCACTCGCTCACTCACTCACTCACTCACTAACTCACTCACTCGCTCGCTCGCTCACTCACACACTCACTCACTCACTCGCTCGCTCGCTCACTCACTCACTCGCTCACTCACTCACTCACTAGCTCACACACACACTCACACACACACTCACTCACACACTCACTCACTCACTGGCTCACTCACTCACTCGCTCACTCACTCACTCGCTCACCCACACACTCGCTCACACACTCGCTCACCCACACACCCGCTCACCCACTCACACACTCACTAAGTCACTCACACACTCACTCACTCACTCGCTCACTAGATCGCTCACTCGCCCACTCACTCAAACACACACTCACTCACTAACTCACTCACTCACTGGCTCACTCACTCACTCGCTCACTAGCTCGCTCACTCACTCACTAACTCACACACTCACACACTCACTCACACACTCACTCGCTCACTCTCTCTCTCCCCCCTCTCTCTCTCCCCCATCACTCCCCCCTCTCCCCCCTCCCCCCGCCCCCACGACTCACCGGCCCAGGTGGCGCCGTGTGGCACCTCCAGGAAGTGGCGCTGCAGCTGGCCCGGCTTGAAGACGACACCACTCCACAGGCGCTCGTACTGACTCTCCTGTGTCACCCTGAAACACCAGGTACCATCAGTACCACCACTCCACAGGCGCTCGTACTGACTCTCCTGTGTCACCCTGAAACACCAGGTACCAGAAGTACCAGCAGTACCAGCAGGTACCATCAGTACCAGCAGTACCACCACTCCACAGCCTCTCGTACTGACTCTCCTGTGTCACCCTGAAACACCAGGTACCAGCAGTACCATCAGTACCACCACTCCACAGCCTCTCGTACTGACTCTCCTGTGTCACCCTGAAACACCAGGTACCACAGTCAGTACTACCAGTACCAGCAGTACCATCAGTACCACCACTCCACAGGCGCTTGTACTGACTCTCCTGTGTCACCCTGAAACACCAGCAGTACCATCAGTACCAGCAGTACCATCAGTACCACCACTCCACAGGCGCTCGTACTGACTCTCCTGTGTCACCCTGAAACACCAGCAGTACCATCAGTACCACCACTCCACAGCCTCTCGTACTGACTCTCCTGTGTCACCCTGAAACACCAGCAGGTACCACAGTCAGTACCAGCAGTACCACCACTCCACAGCCTCTCGTACTGACTCTCCTGTGTCACCCTGAAACACCAGGTACCATCAGTACCAGCAGTACCACCACTCCACAGGCGCTCGTACTGACTCTCCTGTGTCACCCTGAAACACCAGCAGTACCATCAGTACCACCACTCCACAGGCGCTCGTACTGACTCTCCTGTGTCACCCTGAAACACCAGGTACCAGCAGGTACCACAGTCAGTACCATCAGTACCACCACTCCACAGGCGCTCGTACTGACTCTCCTGTGTCACCCTGAAACACCAGCAGTACCATCAGTACCAGTAGGTACCAGCAGGTACCACAGTCAGTACCACCACTCCACAGGCGCTCGTACTGACTCTCCTGTGTCACCCTGAAACACCAGGTACCACGGTCAGTACCACCACTCCACAGGCGCTCGTACTGACTCTCCTGTGTCACCCTGAAACACCAGCAGGTACCAGCAGGTACCATCAGTACCAGCAGTACCAGCAGTACCACCACTCCACAGGCGCTCGTACTGACTCTCCTGTGTCACCCTGAAACACCAGCTACCATCAGTACCACCACTCCACAGGCGCTCGTACTGACTCTCCTGTGTCACCCTGAAACACCAGCAGTACCAGCAGGTACCACGGTAAGTACCAGCAGTACCAGCAGTACCACCACTCCACAGGCGCTCGTACTGACTCTCCTGTGTCACCCTGAAACACCAGGTACCACAGTCAGTACCACCACTCCACAGGCGCTCGTACTGACTCTCCTGTGTCACCCTGAAACACCAGGTACCACGGTCAGTACCACCACTCCACAGGCGCTCGTACTGACTCTCCTGTGTCACCCTGAAACACCAGCAGGTACCAGCAGGTACCATCAGTACCAGCAGTACCAGCAGTACCACCACTCCACAGGCGCTCGTACTGACTCTCCTGTGTCACCCTGAAACACCAGCTACCATCAGTACCACCACTCCACAGGCGCTCGTACTGACTCTCCTGTGTCACCCTGAAACACCAGCAGTACCAGCAGGTACCACGGTAAGTACCAGCAGTACCAGCAGTACCACCACTCCACAGGCGCTCGTACTGACTCTCCTGTGTCACCCTGAAACACCAGCAGTACCATCAGTACCATCAGGTGACCATCAGTACCAGCAGTACCACCACTCCACAGCCTCTCGTACTGACTCTCCTGTGTCACCCTGAAACACCAGCAGGTACCATCAGTACCAGCAGTACCACCACTCCACAGCCTCTCGTACTGACTCTCCTGTGTCACCCTGAAACACCAGCAGGTACCATCAGTACCAGCAGTACCACCACTCCACAGCCTCTCGTACTGACTCTCCTGTGTCACCCTGAAACACCAGCAGTAAAATCAGTACCACCACTCCACAGCCGCTCGTACTGACTCTCCTGTGTCACCCTGAAACACCAGCAGTACCATCAGTACCACCACTCCACAGGCGCTCGTACTGACTCTCCTGTGTCACCCTGAAACACCAGGTACCACGGTCAGTACCACCACTCCACAGGCGCTCGTACTGACTCTCCTGTGTCACCCTGAAACACCAGCAGTACCAGCAGTACCACGGTCAGTACCAGCAGTACCACCACTCCACAGCCTCTCGTACTGACTCTCCTGTGTCACCCTGAAACACCAGCAGTACCACAGTCAGTACCAGCAGGTACCAGCAGGTACCACAGTCAGTACCAGCAGTACCAGCAGTACCACCACTCCACAGGCGCTCGTACTGACTCTCTTGTGTCACCCTGAAACACCAGCAGTACCACAGTCAGTACCAGCAGGTACCAGCAGGTACCACAGTCAGTACCAGCAGTACCAGCAGTACCACCACTCCACAGGCGCTCGTAGTGACTCTCCTGTGTCACCCTGAAACACCAGGTACCACGGTAAGTACCAGCAGTACCAGCAGTACCACCACTCCACAGGCGCTCGTACTGACTCTCCTGTGTCACCCTGAAACACCAGCAGTACCACAGTCAGTACCAGCAGTACCACCACTCCACAGGCGCTCGTACTGACTCTCCTGTGTCACCCTGAAACACCAGCAGTACCAGCAGGTACCACAGTCAGTACCAGCAGTACCACCACTCCACAGCCTCTCGTACTGACTCTCCTGTGTCACCCTGAAACACCAGCAGGTACCATCAGTACCAGCAGTACCAGCAGTACCACCACTCCACAGCCTCTCATACTGACTCTCCTGTGTCACCCTGAAACACCAGGTACCATCAGTACCACCACTCCACAGGCGCTCGTACTGACTCTCCTGTGTCACCCTGAAACACCAGCAGTACCACAGTCAGTACCAGCAGTACCACCACTCCACAGCCTCTCGTACTGACTCTCCTGTGTCACCCTGAAACACCAGGTACCACAGTCAGTACCAGCAGTACCACCACTCCACAGGCGCTCGTACTGACTCTCCTGTGTCACCCTGAAACACCAGCAGTACCAGCAGTACCATCAGTACCAGCAGTACCACCACTCCACAGGCGCTCGTACTGACTCTCCTGTGTCACCCTGAAACACCAGCAGTACCAGCAGTACCACCACTCCACAGGCGCTCGTACTGACTCTCCTGTGTCACCCTGAAACACCAGGTACCATCAGTACCAGCAGTACCACCACTCCACAGGCGCTCGTACTGACTCTCCTGTGTCACCCTGAAACACCAGCAGTACCATCAGTACCACCACTCCACAGGCGCTCGTACTGACTCTCCTGTGTCACCCTGAAACACCAGGTACCATCAGTACCAGCAGTACCACCACTCCACAGGCGCTCGTACTGACTCTCCTGTGTCACCCTGAAACACCAGGTACCAGCAGTACCACAGTCAGTACCACCAGTACCAGCAGTACCACCACTCCACAGGCGCTCGTACTGACTCTCCTGTGTCACCCTGAAACACCAGCAGTACCACGGTCAGTACCACCACTCCACAGGCGCTCGTACTGACTCTCCTGTGTCACCCTGAAACACCAGGTACCACAGTCAGTACCACCACTCCACAGGCGCTCGTACTGACTCTCCTGTGTCACCCTGAAACACCAGGTACCACAGTCAGTACCACCACTCCACAGGCGCTCGTACTGACTCTCCTGTGTCACCCTGAAACACCAGGTACCACAGTCAGTACCACCACTCCACAGGCGCTCGTACTGACTCTCCTGTGTCACCCTGAAACACCAGCTACCATCAGTACCACCACTCCACAGGCGCTCGTACTGACTCTCCTGTGTCACCCTGAAACACCAGGTACCACAGTCAGTACCACCACTCCACAGGCGCTCGTACTGACTCTCCTGTGTCACCCTGAAACACCAGGTACCACAGTCAGTACCAGCAGTACCACCACTCCACAGGCGCTCGTACTGACTCTCCTGTGTCACCCTGAAACACCAGCAGTACCACAGTCAGTACCACCACTCCACAGGCGCTCGTACTGACTCTCCTGTGTCACCCTGAAACACCAGCAGTACCACAGTCAGTACCAGCAGTACCACCACTCCACAGGCGCTCGTACTGACTCTCCTGTGTCACCCTGAAACACCAGGTACCACAGTCAGTACCACCACTCCACAGGCGCTCGTACTGACTCTCCTGTGTCACCCTGAAACACCAGCAGTACCAGCAGTACCACCAGTACCAGCAGTACCAGCAGGTCCCATCAGTACCAGCAGTACCAGCAGTACCACCACGCCACAGGCGCTCGTACTGACTCTCCTGTGTCACCCTGAAACACCAGCTACCATCAGTACCAGCAGTACCAGCAGTACCACAGTCAGTACCAGCAGTACCAGCAGTACCACCACTCCACAGGCGCTCGTACTGACTCTCCTGTGTCACCCTGAAACACCAGCAGTACCACGGTCAGTACCATCAGTACCACCACTCCACAGGCGCTCGTACTGACTCTCCTGTGTCACCCTGAAACACCAGCAGTACCAGCAGGTACCACGGTAAGTACCAGCAGTACCACCACTCCACAGGTGCTCGTACTGAATATCCTGTGTCACCCTGAAACACCAGCAGTACCATCAGTACCATCAGTACCACCACTCCACAGCCTCTCGTACTGACTCTCCTGTGTCACCCTGAAACACCAGCAGGTACCATCAGGTACCATCAGTACCACCACTCCACAGCCTCTCGTACTGAATATCCTGTGTCACCCTGAAACACCAGCAGTACCAGCAGGTACCATCAGTACCAGCAGTACCACCACTCCACAGCCTCTCGTACTGACTCTCCTGTGTCACCCTGAAACACCAGCAGGTACCATCAGGTACCATCAGTACCACCACTCCACAGCCTCTCGTACTGAATATCCTGTGTCACCCTGAAACACCAGCAGTACCAGCAGGTACCATCAGTACCAGCAGTACCACCACTCCACAGCCTCTCGTACTGACTCTCCTGTGTCACCCTGAAACACCA